GCAGCGAGCGGGCGGGCGGGCTGCGAAGTGGCGGGCCGCGAAGCGGGCAGCGAGCGAGCGGGCTGCGAAGCGGGCGGGCCGCGAAGCGGGCAGCGAGCGAGCGGGCTGCGAAGCGGGCGGGCCGCGAAGCGGGCAGCGAGCGGGCGGGCGGGCTGCGTAGCGAGCGGGCCGCGAAGCGGGCAGCGAGCGGGCGGGCGGGCTGCGAGCGGGCGGCTCGGCGAGGGGCGCGCGAGGGCGCTAGTGAGAGGCGCGCGAGGGCGCTAGTGAGGGGCGCGCGAGGGCGCTAGCAAGGGGCGCGCGAGGGCGCTAGCAAAGGGGCGCGCGAGGGCGCTAACGAAGGGGCGCGCGAGGGCGCTGACGTGGGTGCGCGCGAGGGCGCTAACGAGGGTGCGCGCGAGGGCGCTAACGAGGGCGCACGAGGGCGCTACGAGGCTAGGGAACGGGGTAGCGTGGTAACCGCATGCGAGCGGTGGTGGGCCCTAAAAACGATCGGTAGGTCCTAGGGACCTCCTGCTCTGAATACCATGTCAGAATCACTAGGCAAGAATGATTGAACTAACAGAAGTTTGGGTACAAATATGAAACCCTAGTTGGGGTTGTACCCCATATTGGCTACCCCACTACAGCCTACAAGCATAATACAGTTTAACAGTCGCGGCGCCCCCTGGGTGCCGTCCCTGCTCGTCGCCCCCCCCCCCCCCCCTGGCCGCCGCCTCTGCCTCACCGCTTGTAGTCCGGGGCCCTTGCCGCTGGTAGCCCAGAGAGCCTGCTGCGCCTGTCGCCCGTGGGTCCGTTGCTCCTGCCGCTCGTCTTAGCCGCGGAGCCTGTTACTCCTGTAGTCCGGGGCCCTTGCCACCGGTAGCCACTGTGCGCGCCGCTCCTGTTGCCCGTGTGTCTGCAGCTTCAGCCGTCGCCTCCCATCTTCTCTCCTCTCACAGTTTTTCCTCCTCCTCACTTGCCCTCTGTGATAGCCTCTAGCTTTGCTTATATTTATGAACTATGAACTGTTGCTTGTTGTGCTGATCATACCCCACTTTGACTATGGGGGTGTGTCAGAATGTGTAGTTTGTCTAGCCTGCAGTGCGGTACTCTATAGTGAGTACGGCCCCTTAGGGTTTCCTATGTGTATCCACCTGCTTGCTAGTTCAACCACTTCTTCTTGCGACAATTTTCTCGACTCCCCTTTGGCCTAGGCTACTAAGCCTAGGCCCTTCTCCTATTCAACAGGCGTTTCATAGGGATTTGGCTTGTGCTAGTGAAATTCTTGCCAATTTTCTCCGTAAATGCGCAAGTAGTGAGAACCCAAGCAAACGACTAAGGAACGCAGAGATCACCCTCACAACCGTGCCTATCCCGCAGTCAAGCCTGTTGTACGAGTTATCTCCGCAGCGGCTGCGCAGATACTCGGTGAGGACAGGGTGGGTTTCGATTCTATCCAGGGGCGCCCAGTTGTCTTTAGTGGGTGTGTGGTCTTTCCAGCGAATCAGGAACTTAATCTGCGAGCTCCACGTGGGTCGCGAACTCAGTGGCTCAGGATTTTCTCGGCTGTGATGATCGGCTCAGTTGGTGGCCGCGTCATTCTGGCCGGGCGGTTTGTCAAAATTTGTTCTGTAGGCTGTAGTGGGGTTGCCTATAAGGGGTTCAACCCAATTAAAGTTACGATACTTGTACCTCATTCCTGCCTAGTTCATTCATTCTTCCTGTTGGATTGATTCTGACATGGTTTCAGAGCAGTAGGTCCGTAGGACCGTTTTTTTTTTTTCGGGCCCACCATTAGCTTAGTGACTGACTTTGGTTACCGCGCTACCCCACGCCCTGCCCTGCCCTGTGCCGCCCGCACGCGCCGCCCCGTGCAGCCCGCCTCCTGTTTGCAGCCCCGCGCGGCGCCCTTGCAGCCCGCGCGCTGCCACTGCAGCCTCGCGCGCCGCCCTTGCAGCCCGCGCGCTGCCCCCGCAGCCCCGCGCGCCGCCCCCGCAGCCCGCCCGCTGCCTCTGCAGACCCGCGCGCCGCCCCTGCAGCCTGTGCGCTGCCCCTGCAGCCCCGCGCGCCGCCCCTGCAGCCTGTGCGCTGCCCCTGCAGCCCCGCGCGCCGCCCCTGCAGCCCTCGCGCTGCCTCTGCAGCCTCGCGCGCCGCCCTTGCAGCCCCGCGCGCCGCCCCTGCAGCCCGTGCGCTGCCCCTGTAGCCCCGCGCGCCGCCCCTGCAGCCCTCGCGGTGCCTCTGCAGCCCCGCGCACCGCCCTTGCAGCCCCGCATGCAACCACTGCAGCCCGCGCGCTGCCTCTGCAGCCCCGCGCGCCGCCACTGCAGCCCGCGCGCTGCCTTTGCAGCCTCGCGCGCCGCCCCTGCAGCCCGCACACTGCCATCTGCAGCCCCGCGCACCGCCCGTGCAGCCCTCGCGCTGCCTCTGCCCTGCCCGCGCGCCCGGCCCTGCCCTGCCTGCGCGCAACGCCCTGCTCTGCCCGCGCGGCCGGCCCTGCCCTGCCCGCGCGCAACGCCCTGCCCTGCCTGCTCGCCGCCCTGCCTTCCCTCCGTGCTGCCCTGCTGGTCATCCGCCTCCTTGCTTTGCCCGCTATGACTTCTCTTCGTGGTAGCGGTGGGAGTGGTGGCGACGGTGGTGGCACAAATGGGAGTTGTGGCGGCGACGGTCGTGGTAGTCGCGGTGGAGCTGTTCAGTGGGGAGTTTCTAGCAGTGGCCAGATGCAGCTGCAGCGGCGTCCGCGCGAGACCCTTACGTCCCAGCAGCTTCGTGAGTGGCTTTTTCAGCGTGGGGCGTCTCGGAGTACTGCTCGCTGCCCGTACGTCATTCGCACAGGTGCTCGGGCTGGTCAGACTTGCGGGACGACTGGCCACACACAGTCCCGCTGCTTTTCCTATCTGAGCGACGCCTGGCGCGCAGAGTTTGGCGACGAGGCTGAGCTCCCCCGCTGGCTAGAGCTGCTTCGAGACGGAGTGGATATATTTGCTTTAGACTGAGGGTGACTGTTACCTGTGTGTGTCACCCAACCCTTGTATAGAGGCTGCTGCTCTAGGTGCTAGTGAGTCTGCTCTCTCTGGTACTGTGCCTGCTGAGGCCCTGCACACCTTCACGCTTGATCCAGGTACTTCTCGCTGCTTCTTTCGTGACAGTACCACAGTCACACCACTCCCTAGACCCGTTGCAGTCTCGCTGGCTGACCCCTCTGGGGGCCCAGTTCTTGCACGTTCCTCCACTATTCTCCCGTGTCCGGCGGTTCCGTCCGGCTCGCTGTCAGGTCTCCACCTCCCCTCATTCTCGACGAACCTGGTGAGTACCGCGGCTCTTCAGGATGAGTGGGTTGATACCTTTACCCCTGGAGGCCAGCGTGTGGCGATCTGCACGTGCTCCCGGACGGGCCGCCACCTGGCCACGTTCACTCGTCGGCCTGGGTCGAGTCTGTACACACTGACTACTGAGCCTCCCCAGGTTGCTGCGTCTGGTCAGGTGGCCGCGTCAGGTCAGGTAGCTCCCCCCCTGCGAGTGTCGTCACCTGTCGCACCAGACTCTCCTTTGGCACCACCGCCTTGGTCACCCCTCCCTGCCACGCCTTCGTGGCATGCACTCCCGCCTCCTTGTCACTGGTCTTCCCAGGTCTCTTCCTTCCCTCCCACCCTCGCCTGCCCCGCCCTGCGTTCCTTGCGTCGAGGGGCGGCAGCGCGCCGCTCCTCACTCCTCCTCATTTCCCCCGACGACTGCTCCCCTGCAGACTCTCCACATGGACGTGTGGGGCCCAGCCCACATCATTGGACTGGGCCGTAAGCGATACTTTCTGCTGGTTGTCGACGACTACTCGCGTTACACCACGGTCTTCCCCTTGCGCAGCAAGGGTGAGGTCCCTGCTGTTTTGATCCCTTGGATCCGCGCTGTACGTCTCCAGCTCCGCGAGCGGTTCCGCACGGACCTTCCCGTCCTGCGTCTGCACTCTGACAGAGGTGGTGAGTTCTCCTCCGACCTCTTGCGGGACTTTTGTCAGGGGGAAGGCATCCTCCAGTCGTTCACGCTTCCGGCCTCACCGCAGCAGAATGGGGTTGCTGAGCGCCGCATTGGCTTAGTCATGGAGGTGGCCCGTACCTCCATGATCCATGCGGCTGCTCCCCATTTTCTGTGGCCGTTTGCGGTCCGCTACGCTGCGCATCAGCTCAACCTCTAGCCCCGTGTCTCCTTGCCGGACACCTCGCCCACACTGCGTTGGACGGGGGAGGTTGGCGATGCGTCGCGGTTCCGGGTCTGGGGCTCTCGTGCCTTTGTCCGCGATACCACCGCGGACAAGCTCTCCTCTCGCACCATTCCCTGCGTCTTCCTTGGCTTTCCCCCTGACACGCCTGGCTGGCAGTTTTACCACCCCACCTCGCGCCGTGTCTTCCCCTCTCAGGACGTCACGTTTGAGGAGTCGGTTCCCTTTTACCGTCTCTTCCCCTACCGCACTGCCCCTCTCCCCCCCCCGCCGCTCTTCCTTGCTCCAGGTCCCCCTCCAGTAGACCCCCTCCCCCCTCAGGGTCCTGCTCCTTCAGGTGTCTCTCAGGTAGACCCACTTCCCTTGGCTGAGCCTGTCGAGGTCACTGGTGACTCAGGTGCTGCTGGGGCTGGTCCTGATCGAGGTGCTGCGTCTGGGGGTGCTGAGCCTGCGGGTGCGGAGCCTGGGGGTGCTGAGCCTGAGCGTGCGGAGCCTAGGGGTGCTGAGCCTGAGCGTGCGGAGCCTGGGGGTGCTACGCCTGAGCGTGCGAAGCCTGGGGGTGCTGAGCCTGGGGGTGCTGAGACTGGGGGTGCTGCGCCTGAGCGTACTGAGCCTAGGGGTGCTGAGCCTGGGGGTGCTGCTTCTGGGGGTGCTGAGCCGGGTGGTGCTTCTTTTGCTGGTGGTCTTCCGGGAGCCTCGCTGCAGCGGTCTCCCCAGCGTGAGCCCCTCTCACCACAGCAGCTGCGTGAGTGGCTTGCCCGGCGCACCCGCTTTCGGAGTCACGCAAGAGCTGGAGGCACTGGAGCTGGAGATGCTGGGGCTGGAGGTGCTGGAGCTAGAGGTCCTGGCGCTGGAGGCGCTGGAGCTGGAGGCGCTGGAGCTGGAGGTGCTGGCGCTGGAGGTGCTGGAGCTGGAGGTCCTGACGCTAGAGGCACTGGAGCTGGAGGCACTGGAGCTGGAGGCACTAACGCTGGAGCTACTGGAGCTGGAGGTGCTGGCGCTGGAGACGCTGGAGCTGGAGGCCATGTGCAGCAGCGTGAGCCCCTCTCACCACAGCAGCTGCGCGAGTGGCTTGCCCGGCGCACCCACCTTCGGAGTCGCGCAGGAGCTGGAGGCACTGGAGCTGGAGGTGCTGGAGCTGGAGGTCCTGGCGCTGGAGGTCCTGGAGCTGGAGGCACTGGAGCTGGAGGTGCTGGAGCTGGAGGTGCTGGCGCTGGAGGCGCTGGAGCTGGAGGTGCTGGTGCTGGAGGCGCTGGAGCTGGAGGTACTGGAGCTGGAGGTGCTGGAGCTGGAGGCACTGGAGCTGGAGGCGCTGGCACTCGAGGCGCTGGAGCTGGAGATCCTGACGCTGGAGGTGCTGGAGCTGGAGGCGCTGGAGCTGGAGGCACTGGCGCTGGAGCTACAGGAGCTGGAGGTTGACGCTGGAGGCACTGGAGCTGGAGGCACTGGAGCTGGAGGCACTGGCGCTGAAGCTACAGGAGCTGGAGGTGCTGGCGCTGGAGGTGCTGGAGCTGGAGGCCCTGTGTAGCAGCGACTGTTTTTCTTGCCGCCGCCTCAGCTGTCCGAGCTCTCGCCCGAGTCGGTGCTCCGTCAGGTTTGTAGTCTTTCTTTGTCCGGACTCGCCGCTGCCTGCTCCGTCCGGTTACACTGAGCAGCCGGTCTCCCTTACAGAGCGTCGTGAGCCTGTGTCCCGTCCTGCCTCCCCTGTTCGCCGTGCTCGTCGTGTCCCGCGTCCGTGTCCTCCTCCTGTGACAGGTACTCACACTATGGCACTTTGTCCTTCCTCTGTTCCACAGCGCGTCCCTCTGCCGTCTCCTCTTGCGTCCTCTCTTCCTGACGTTCTGGACCCTATGTCTGACTGTGTTCGTGCTGCTATCCGTACTGTCACCCGTCTCCTGGCTACTGTTGTCACTGACCCGTCGTTTGAGTCTACTGCTGCGTCTGCCTTAGTTGCTGAGCTTGTGGACTTTGCTGCTGTGTGTCGTCTAGACTACGCCGCCAGTCTTGTTGCTGAGTCTGAGTCTGTCTGTTCTCCGTCCGTCGGGGGTGAGTGTGCTCTTGGCACGGACATCCTTGAGGACAGGCAGAAGGACTTTGTCTCTCTTGCGCCTGCTTTACCTCATCTCACGGCCTGGCTGCTTGCACCTGAGGGAGACTCGGATGCACTGGACATCCCGACCCCGCGCTCTTACGCAGAGGCGATCACGGGTCCCTACTCCTCTCAGTGGCAGACAGCCATGGATGCAGAGATGGCATCCTGGAAGTCCACAGGCACCTACGTCGACGCAGTTCCCCCTCCTGGGGCGAACATTGTCGATGGCATGTGGATTTTCAAGGTGAAGCGGCCGCCGGGTTCTCCGCCTGTCTTCAAGGCGCGTTACGTTGCACGAGGCTTCAGTCAGCGACAGGGAGTTGACTTCTTTCAGACCTTCTCCCCTACCCCGAAGATGACCACTCTTCGGGTGCTGCTGCACGTTGCCGCTCAGCGTGACTACGAGCTTCACTCTCTTGACTTCAGCACAGCTTTCTTACAGGGCAACCTGCACGAGGAGATCTGGCTGCGCCGCCCACTTGGCTTCACTGGGTCGTTCCCTCCTGGTACCCAGTGGAGCCTCCAGCGGCCAGTCTACGGTCTCCGCCAGGCACCTCGTGAGTGGCACGACACACTGAGGACTACACTTGCGGCTCTTGGGTTTGCTCCTTCCACTGCTGACCCGTCGCTGTTTCTTTGCACCGACACTTTGCTGCCTCCGTTCTACATCCTCGTGTACGTCGACGACTTGGTTTTTGCCATTGCTGACACTAAGGCACTGGCCCTTGTGAAGTCGGAGCTGCAGAAGAGACACACGTGCATAGACCTGGGTGAGCTGCGCAGCTACCTTGGCTTGCAGATCTTCCGGGACAGAGCATGCCGCACCATCACGCTGACTCAGTCACACATGGTGCAGCAGGTCCTTCAGCGCTTCGGCTTCTAGTTCTCCTCACCACAGTCCACTCCTCTGCCTACCGGTCACTCGCTCTCAGCTCCACCTTTGGACGAGTCCGTAGAGCCGAGTGGCCCGTATCCAGAGCTTGTGGGCTGCCTCATGTACCTGATGACCTGCACGCGACCTGACCTTGCGTACCCTCTTAGCATCCTGGCTCGCTACGTTGCGCCTGGGAGACACCGGCGAGAGCAGTGGAAGGCTGCTAAGAGGGTGTTGCGCTACTTGTGCAGTACATCGGGTATGTGGCTGGTGCTTGGAGGACGGGGTCGAGTTGTCCTCACTGGACACTTAGACGCCTCTTGGGTTGACGACCTGGCTACGCAGCGGTCGTCACAGGGTTACACCTTCAGCCTTGGTTCCGGCTCTGTTTCTTGGCGGTCTACCCGCTCATCTTCTGTTCTCAGCTCCAGTTGTGAGGCTGAGATCTATGCAGGGGCCATGGCTGCACAGGAGTTACGCTGGCTCACCTACCTGCTGACTGACTTGGGAGAGCGGCCTAGTTCTCCTCCAGTTCTGTACGTCGACAACAAGGCCGCCATCGCCTTGTGTCAGGAGCACAGACTGGAGCACAGAACGAAGCACATAGCTCTGCGTTACTTCCTTGCTCGAGAGTTGCAGCAGCGTGGCCAGCTTCGTCTTGCTTACGTGGCCACTCGGGCCAACACAGCTGATATATTCACCAAGGCACTTTCGCCTGGTGATCATCAGCGTCTCTGTACTGCTCTAGGCCTCGTGCCTACGTTTTCTCACTTGCTTACTGCTTGACCTTGCTTGTACCACAATCTATATATATCCTTGCATGCTTACACTTGCTAGGTTGTGATCACTGTACTGCTTGTTTTGTTTATACAACTTTGCATGTGAACTGGCCTTGTGGCCATTTGCTTGTGCTCGAAATGTGTGGTGACTTCGTGATCCACCCTGAGCTTGCTTTGTTTCTCTCGACTGGTCTTGTGACCGCCTGCTCTCCCCCACTTTGCCTATGGGGGTGTGTCAAAATATGTTGTGTAGGCTGTAGTGGGGTAGCCCATAAGGGGTACAACCCAATTAGGGTTATGATAGTTGTACCTCATTCCTGCCGCGTTCATTCATTCTTCTTGTTGGATTCTGACACGGCTGCGTGGCAGTTCATTAGTGGATGGGATGTATGGGCGAAGTAGACGGACATGGAATGATGGGCTAACATACCAGTCAGCAGGGAGGAGGTAGGCGGTGATGGGTGTAATCATGTGGCTAATGCGAAATGGCCCGCAATATCGTGGGCGGATTTTCGGCGTCACATGCAGGCTGAGTTTTTGGGTGTCGAGTAAAACGAGGTCATCAGTCTCGTAGGTGACGGGGTAGCGGTGGCAATCAGCGTTTCGTTTAGTGATGATGTTGGATTTTTTAATGGTGTCTGCTGCTAGGGTCCGGGCCGCCTGAAGAATTTCGGCGAACTGCTGTGCGCATGGGACGGGGTTGTCAGGATTCGGGGTCATGGGTACTCTAGGGTTCTGCCCGCAGTTGAGGTGGTGACTGCGGTGTCGTGGCTAACATGGAGTTGTACGCGAATTCGATGAGTGGCAGCTGCTGCTTCCATGTTGCCGAGTCGCCTCACGTGGCTCGGATTAACTGCTCCATTGTCTAATTGGTCCGTTCTGTTTGACCGTTAGTTTTGGGGTGGTACGATGAACTGAACTGTAGTCGAGTGCCATACAACTGCCACAGGTTCTCCAGAATTTGCTGGTGAATTTCGTGTCACGGTCACTGATGATCGCATTGGGTATCCTATGCAGCGGAACGGCGGTGGATATGAATAGTCGGGCCGTTTCTTTGGCTGAAATTGACTTCTTGCACGCTGCGAAATGAGCCATTTTTGTCAGCCGATCGACGACGACCAGGATCGCATCGTTCCCACTCGCCCCAGCCGGTAACCCCGTGACGAAGTCCATCGTCACCTGCTGCCAAGCACGCTCTGGGGGTGGTATCGGCTGCAACTGTCCTGCCGGCCGCTTTCGTGATGACTTCATGAGCTGGCGTGTGGGACACGATGCCACGTGTCGTTGCACGTCAGTCAGCATCTCAGGCCAGTAGTAATATCACTGCAGGTGCTGTCGTATTTTCTCAACCCCGAAATGTCCTGAGGTAACTCCGTCTTGTGCCTCGAGTAGCAGTGATTCCTGTAGTAAAGTGTAGCTTGATACCCAAATGCGATCGGTACCAGCTTTTACGTAATAGACCCTTTTTGCTGCAGTGAACTGCTGCGGGTTTCCTATAGTAAAGAATGGGTCTGTTTGATAGCCGTGGGTAAACAGATATGTATGTAGTGGGCTAGTCTGGGCGAGTAGTATGGCGTGTATCTGGGTAGTCGAGCTGGTCAATTCGTCGGCGATATTCGGGGCTCCCTTATTGTAGGTGGCCGTGTAGTGGAAGTTGGACTCGAGAAAATCGAGCCAACGAACTTGTCGTGGGTTGAGGTGGGGCTGTGCACGGATGTACTGCAGTGATTTGTGGTCTGTCCGTACTGTCACGTCAGTGCTGGACAAGTAACAGCGCCACACTTTGAACGCGTGCACGATCGCGAGCATTTCGCGGTCGTGTATCGGGTAATTCTTCTCGGGCGGATGTAGTTTTTTGCGACTTGTACACGATGGGTCGTAAGCCGTTGCCGAAATCTTGTAGCAGTACGGATCCAATGGCGATGTCGCTGGCGTTTGTAACCACTTCGAATGGGCGGTGTGGGTCGGCGATGCGCAGAACGGGTGGTGAACAGATAACAGTTTTCAGGGTAGAGAAGGCAGCATGCTCTTTCTTCCCCCACGTAAAAGGAACCCCCTTCTACAGTAAATCAGTCTGTGGGCCATTTATTGTCATGTCGGGGACGAACCGACGGACGTAATTAACGAACCCTAAAAAACTCTGCAGTTCCGTGATATTTGTCGGTGGGTGCCAAGCCCGAACTGTATCTAACTTCTACGGGTCGATCTCAACTACAGCCTCCAAAATAATGTGCCCCAAAAACTCTAGCCTGTCCTGAAAATACTCGCACTTGGAACCCTTGGTCAGTAGGCGGTTTTCGTCTAAAATCTTGAACACTGCTTCTAGATCCGCTAAATGCTACTTCTTGTCGTGACTATAAACCATAATGTCGTCGAGGTAAACCATCACGCATTCATCTAAGAGCGGCCTAATAGCCTCGTTCATGGTCATGTGAAACATTGCCGTTGCGTTGGTAACTCCGAATGGCATCAGTGTGTACTCGTATGAGTCGTACCTAGTTCTAAAAGTTGTTTTGGCGCAGTCTGTCGGTTCGACTCTAATTTGGTGGTAACTGGCTTGAAAGTCTATTTTCAAAAACACCTGGGCTGTTCGCAGCTGGTCGATCAGTTCACTGGCGCAGGGGATGTGTATCGTGGTTTCACTGTTACACGGTTCAGTACGCGATAGTCGATGCACATGCAAAAACTTCCACCTTTTTTCGGTGCGAACAGTATCGGTGTGACGAACGGCGGCGCACTCGGTCGTATGAACTTTCTCTCCAGTAAGTAATCTATCTGCTTCCTCAGTTCGTCTAGCTCAGTCTGTGTCAGTCGAAACTGTCGTTGTACAATTGGTTGTGCTACCGGTTCTAATTCTATGCGGTGGTTGTGTGCTCGCTAAGGTGGCAGTCTCTCCAATAAATCGTCGCGAAAAACCACCGGGTACCGTTTCACTAGTTCCTGTAGCTCGGGCGGTACGGCTGCTAAAAGTTTCTCAAAATCACTCGATCCCTCTGCTTCTCCCACTTCCGTGATACCTACTACATACACGTCAGCTCCAGGGGTGACGACCCGTTTCATCGTGATGGCGTTGACATGATCCGTTGAAGACTCAGGCGACTGCCAGCGAGGTAGCGCGACCCATTTACCGTTGCTTCACACAGTGCAGATGCCTGTCCTCTAGTCGATTCGTGGGTTGTAACGTCGCAACCAATCACGTCCGAGTAAAATGTCGTGCCTATACAGTGTTTTTGCACGCATTTCTTGTGTAAATCCGCCCCCCGCAGCGGACCTCTACTCTCTCCACCTTCCCTCGTATAGCCAGCGGCATGCCGTCAACTAAGCGTGCATCAATCTCCGGTAAGCAGCGGCCAAGTGTCAGTTGTAGCTTCCATGTAGTTGCGGTATTAACCAAACTATAACTTGCTTCTCCGTCAATAAAAATCTTTACGGCTACCCCCTGTATTTTCCCGTGAATCAGTATTGAGCAATCTGTCGCTATATCCTCCTTATTCAGCCGAGCCCGATCGATTGCGTGAATCAGTACCTTCACTCAGTGAGGGTTGGTGAGGTTGGGCGAGCAGTGAGTCTCGTCAGTAGTGGGCCTGCACTCTACTGACTACTGGTGTTTCCCTGCTCTACTCCACGGCGCCTTAGCTCCTCTGGGCATTCGCTCTTGCGATGGCCCGGCCTGTTGCACGCGAAGCAGCGCCCCTTAAATATCACGGCAGCTGCATTCGTCGCAATGGCGTGTACAGTGGCATGCTCAGTCGGCCCCCGAGTGCCTGGCCTCAGACGACGCAAAATGTCGATTTTCTCCGCGAGCGCCATGATTTCGTTAAAATTCGAGATCCCGCGAAGAAGGAATTCTTGCGAGATTTCCGGCTTCAAGCCCCTGACGTAGCGATCCACCCGCTCCGCTTCGTGCATGTAGCTGACCTGCTCCCACAGCATGAGAAAACCGCTGGTGTAATCTTGGACCGACCCGAGTTGTCGCCAAGTGCGTAGTTTCTGACGCGCTAAGATTGAAGCCGCGATCGGCTCGAAGCGCGCCCGAAGCCCTGCGCACCACGCGTCCACGTGATGTATTGGGCGGTTTCGCAGAACAAACTCCAGATTATGACTGGGCCCTCAGGCCTTTCCTCTTGCGACAGTGGCTCGTAGGCGCTCTGCGGCATCACAATGACTCGCCACTAGTCCATGGCGGGGTCCTGCAGCAGCGATATGGCATACCGGATCTTCGCTGCACCC